CAACTGTATAAATTCTATGGGTTATGAAATAATTCTGGCAGCTCAGTTCAACATATTACAAATGTTTTTTTTTGCGATGTTTTAATGGCTTGTGCTGTAAGGGCGAGGTATCGTTTTACAGTAATAAACCTACATAAGCAAGTTAAGAAGTAGTTTTAAGATTGCTAGAAATGCTTGCTTTTAATTTGAAAACTTTTAATTGTCCGTTGCATAACTTCAGACTTCACCCTTGAGTGACAGTTAGTGTAAGGCTGTGGAAAAGTGCATGCAGACTGATTATCACGTGAACCCGCGCCGTTAGTAAAGAACAATGAATTATTTGTCCCTTTTATCCAGAACAACCTGTCAAGATCCAGACTGACCAGTTTTTATGCTTCAATCAATGATTGTATTTTGGTCCGCGGATCTATCCTTGAAATCGATCCACCCTATGGATTCATAGGGTGGATCGATTTCAAGGCACGGCAGTCTGTTCAGCTTAGTCGGTGACGGAGTGAACTACAACAGTTTAATTCGACTTTTGAATCAGTTTTGACAAACAAGCAATTTGTTCTCAAGAATACGGTCTGCTGCCGGCTGATGCGCGGCAGCAATCAAGGGTTATGTAACCCTTTCTTTGGGGCGTTAAATAACATGATGTTACAACACAGGCATCCCAAGCTCATGTTACGAGTGTGTTATATAAGGGATGCACCATTAGAAAAGTCATGTACATGTAAGGTGGAAATCTTTTTTTTTTTTTCCCCGATGGCTAATTTTTTTTTTTAGTAGGTGAAACTTTCATATGTTCACATATGTCACAAACCCGGCAAACCGACAAAGACTATTGCCAATAATACATCTTTGTTTTACTTTATTCAACGCGTCAAAGGAACCTCGACTACTTTCTAGTCTATTTAACAATTTAATTGACCTATTAAATTGGGTTATTTTTGGTGCGGTTTTGCGGTAATTTTTATTTGAAAGTACGGTATTGCTGTTTTCAGAGTCTAAGCGGTATGCGGTAAATTTAAATTTAATGTCGCGGTAATCGGTGAAAAAATTGTTGTCTCGCGGTGATCTGCTTCCTTTTTTAAAGTATGACAACTGTATAAATTCTATGGGTTATGAAATAATTCTGGCAGCTCAGTTCAACATATTACAAATGTTTTTTTGTCTGTTACGACGGTTTTTACACGAAAAGGTTGAAAGATAATCTATGAAGATGATGTGGTCTAAAAATTACTACTGTACAGTACCGCAAATGATCCCCAACCGCAAATGATCCCGAGACCGCAAATGATCCCCAAAATGGACCGCAAATGATCCTCGACCGCAAGTGATCCCTAAAGTCGACCGCAAATGATCCCGTGAAAACTTGAGGAATGGAATGGATTTTATGGGACTGATTACAAAAAAGGACTGATTATAAAAAAGAAACCTTTTTCTCTCGCCTTTTAAAGAAAAAGGGAAGGAGGACGCTACATCTCAGGTCAGTTTATACAAGGCGAAAAAAAAAAATGGAATAAATCTGAAAAGGTGTGGTATTAACCGTATACTTCTTCCTTTGTCGATTGCTTCAATTTTCTTTCAAGAATGTTTCGTCTTTTGAAAAATTTAAGACAGGCAGGACGTTACGCAGAAAAATTATTTTAACGCCTAGAAGCTCAGCTTTTCTACTGAGGAATACAAAGCCGGGCACCCTCCACCTAACAAGAGCTTTATTGACTTTACTGATCTTTTTGAAAGCACTAAATTAATCAGCCAGAATATTTCATTTTGATTTTTTCTGAAGTGTTAATTTTACGTGATAAACCGCAAGACATTTGTTCCTAACTTAGGTGCCCGTTACGAAACAAGACATGATTTAACATAAACACAAGTCAAAATGTCCCCGAATTTATCAATGTTTTCAGGTTTCGGTTTATTTCGAAATGGCATGCAACTTTCTTACATCTCATGAACGTGTTGTGAATATATAGTTATATTAGCGTTTTTATGTATATTCATTTGTTGTGCTTTGCTGAAGACAGTTACCAGGAATCTAAACCTGGTAATGAGAAACGCAAAGCCAGGTAAGCAGTAGTTATCGCGTAACAAAACATCGTAAGAAACCGTCACATTCACGGACTAAAACAAAATCGCTTATGATTATTTGGATCCAGGAGGCACTTAGGAGAAAATTAAACAACCTAAAACCCTTATTTAGCGGCGATGAAGAGCACTGCATTTCGAAAGAGGTCAAAGGAAATGCTCTTGCATCAAAGGGCAAATCATGCCGACCAGAAACAACAATAACCGCAGAAAATGCGTGTCATGACCTCTCGGTATGAAACAAGCGGCAAAAATCATATTTGCTCAGTCAAAACGTTTTCCTTAGAGGTATAATCTACCCGCCAGAGCCGGAGAAAAGTCATTGGAACAAGCAGCATTTTAGCATGAGGTAAAAGTCGTGTGTTGCCTACCGACTTCGTTTTTACTCTTGAATGATTTTTTTCATTTAGTTTTTATTCATATATTTATTTGAGAAGTAAAATTTAGCTTTTAACCTGACTTATTGTAATAATAATAAAATCGACATGATGACCCGCTAACTTGAGTCCAAGTCATTCCCATTTTTCTTTCGGGATCATTTGCGGTCGACTTTGGAGATCATTTGCGGTCGAGGACCATTTGCGGTCCATTTTGGGGATCATTTGCGGTTGGGGATCATTTGCGGTACTGTACAGTACTCAAAGCCTCGGGTGAATACTCTGGAACGGTCGTTGAAAATTGGGTTTGACCCAAAAATAAACCAGTTACTCGTGTGTAACCTGCAGTTCCAGGCGTTTAGATAATCATTTTTTCCTGCTCACTTTTAATTTGCACAGTCCCCAAAATCTGAGGGCCTGGAACGTTGAGAGCGTAACTAGATGTAATTAACCAAAGTATCAAAAAGCTAAGAAGGTAAACCTGAGTAATGAAACAATGAACGTGAAGTCACTTTTTAAGTGACGTTTGCTCGCCACCGACGTCGTGGTATCTTCAACTGTTCTCTAATATTGTTACTTTGAGAAAGAAACTTAAAAAACATACTTGTATAACGTATGGAACTGGCAACGGTGCTTTTTCCCATCTTTCAGCGAGAGGAACATGGTAACAACTCCCTTCAATATCCCCTCGCTCACAGTCATTTTCTCGACGGAAGGCTCCCAATTAGTTGTTCTTTTTTGCATCACTGGTCCATCAGCAGCAAAATTCATCCCAGTGAAAGTGGACTTGTGGATAAAGCAGTTGCATTTACTGTCAAGGCTATCGACGTAAAAGGAACTTATGAGACAGTAACAAAATTTATTTTTGTATTATTTTTATTATTATTGTTATCAATATTGTTATATTTCTTATAATTAATTAGTTAATTCTAAATTTTAAGCGTCTTTGATCGTAAAATTAGTAAATTTATACCTTATATCCACATTGGCTATGCAAGATCCGCCATCTTCAAATTGAAGACTTCTTTCCCATGTGTATCCATCAGGAAATGATGGCTTGAAATAGTCAACGATTCCTTTAGGATAATCGGTGAAGGCTCTGTTACCATAGCAAAACACAGATGACAATATGTCAAAGGAGAATGGGAGGGGTCCACCCTTGGTTACTCGCAGTTTTAAAGTCTGTTTTCCTCTACAAAAAATGAAAACAACAAACACAAAAACGAATTAAACAAAATATGAAAAGCAGAGAGGAGCCTTTTGAGAACTAGGCTAAACACTGCCCATTTACCAGTGTAATTTAACTAAATAGCGGGAAAGGTTTAGGACAGCCTGCTACATACTTTAGTTTCATTTCGATTCTCCAATTAATGCTAATTCGCGCCAGTCGACAAGGGTTTATTATTGGCAAGTCCTATTGCGAAAAAATACCTCTTTCATAATACTTAACTACACCCCAAAGCATTTAACACTGTTGAAAAGGTTTATTTTAATGTAATAAGTTTTCATTTGTTTCCTTTTCAGAAAAAAAACTAATCCGTCCGGAAATAAAGGGTCAGGTCATCACTGTGGCAGAATCACCGTTAAGATAATAGTATCATGATGATATAAATGACGTTTGATCCTGATCTATCAGCAAAAAATTAACCATCGTCGTCGCCTATTGCTGAATACCAACGTGTTTCATCATATCCGTGTCAAATTTACCATTCAAAGGAAAGTCGTTATTAATTTCTGGTGATGATCAGTAAAACCACTTTCACTTCATAGAACTTTCTATTGCACCAAAGGCCATAATACTTTTTTGGCATGATTGAGTTTTCATAATCTTTCGCTTTATACTCAGTACAGCTGATTTAAAATAATTTGAGAATTTGACTTTGCAACGTAAAAATATTCCCAAGTTGATGACGAGCTTTATTCTCTTAAATGAACTTAATGACTGGTGTAGTTATAATTAAATATCAACCCGGCTCGCGCCTTCAACCAATAGGCGCTAACAGTGATCAGCATCAAATTTCTGCTTGTAATATCAATGCTTTGTAAAACGGACACGGTCATGCGAATTACGGAAATGATCATACAAGCTGAATTTGCTTGATATTTTATCAATTTCTCCTTACTACTTCTGTTAGAGATGAATAAGGGCAACAAATGAGAATTCAAATTTTGATCTCAGGGCCTAGTAAAGGGTTAATAGAGCCTCCAGTGGCTCGGTGGTTCAAGGGCATCCGAACTAGAACTCAGAGGGTCGTGAGTTCGATTCTCACCTGGAGCTCGGAATTGTTTCTGAGCTTTCTGGTGTTAGAAATCTCGTTCTCCCGACTGATAACAGTGAAGAGCTATTGCACTTAACATGTACATGACCTAAAGATGAAGGGAGTTGTATTGATCGACTTACTCGTACGGTTTCCCGCTGCCTTCACCCTCGATTGTAAAGAAATGCCCATCGACAGATCCTTCCATGTGGTATGTCATCGCCATGTCATCTTTGATAACCTGCATTAAAAAGTACACCAAAATAAATTCGCATAAATGCAAGTGTGGCTGGCAAAGTTAATTAAAGATTAGGAAGCTTGACACCGTTCAGGTTTGTAAAATTCCAAATATAGGTGAGGCAAAAGCAATTGAAGCTATTCAGAGAGTATCCATCTAGAATGATTTTACTTAAGCCGTGAAATAGATAGACTACTACGAACTATAATACCCTCTAATTGTATTGTTTTTATTTGTTTACCTGTAACTATTTGGCACTTATTGTGACTCACACTGTTTGACGGGTTTAGTAAAAGCACTCTAAAAAAATCAATTGATTTTCGATTCAACATTTATATCACGTTCGCCAATTAATAATTTTGAAGATTTTTGTTTTATTTTACGCGAGAATCAAAAACCATGACCTATAGCACGACTAAATTGCAAAATTGCAAATTGCAACTATTTCAAGTTGCATCAGATTTAACTAATCGATAAAGTTAACTTTCAGTAAAGTATTATATCCACTACAAACTTAAAGCTTTTTGTCTGAACAGAATTATACTATAGTGATTTTAGGACTGGAAGGATGAGGTTTGTCTCAGTCTGTTTTGAGATTTTTAACCTCTTTTTTGCTGTTCTGCGTGATTATTAATCTTAGAGTTTTATTCCAAACGAAAGAAAGAAATTGTTCTATGTTCTAAGCTTCCTTTTGTAAAAAAGTTCGGAAAAATTACACAGCCTGATCTTTCATCCAATATCTGATTTTTGGCATTATGGAAATGTTTTATAACTACCGCTGGGGTGTGGCATGGTAGTATGCTATGAAATGCTGCTACGTTAACATTTGCCAAAGTAGATTCAACTTCCTCAAAATCTTAGCTTAGAGTTGAAAAACTCTCTTCCATAAATATTAGAAAAGGGCAGGCGTAACATAAAACAGTACAGCTTTGTCTTTCTTGCATTAAGTGAGTTTGGGGAATGCAATTAGGGAGTTGTCTGGTAGTATGCTATGAAATGCGGCTACGTTTGTCCTTATTGCCAGAGTAGATTCGACTTAGGGTTGAAAATTCACTTACTTGCTTTGAAAGAGCCATGTTGCTGCTTTTTTAAAACAGTACTCAAAAGTCCGGTTAAGCTGTTGTAGTTCACTCCGTCACCGACTAAGCTGAACTGACTTCTGTGGCTGAGGGTAGATCAATTTTAAGGCCAAATCGAACCAAAATACACACCTTGATTGACGCATTAAAACAGGTTAGACTGGATCTTGACAGGTTGGTCTGGATAAACGGGACAAATAAGTCTTTGTTCTTTACTAACGGGATCAGGTGATGTCAGTGTGCATGTACTTTTCCACAGCCTTTCCTAACTAAACTTGGCTGTTCATTAATTTCGACTTTTACAGAATAGTGAGCTCTGAGGATGATTTTACAAATTTTGACATTAACAGCAGTCATTAAATCAGTGCTTCTCCGTGCCATCTTGATACGATTTCATAACCCAGTTGACGTTAAAACACCGCCAAAAAGAGCTTACAAACAAACAAATTAAAAAAGTGAATGTTGAACATCCATCAGAAACTATTAAGGTGCAGTTAAGCAATTTTATCAATTTGGAAGGCAAAAAATCTGAAGAGTTGGGGGGCGACAAGTAAGCTATCAAGTACAGCTACGAGGTTTTTGCAGAAAAAGCCGCGGTTGGTCCTAAACTTAATTAGGGTCGGGATTAATCGAGTGTGTCAATTCAAGCTCTTCTAGTAACTGTTCACTGCCTGACTGATTGACCTAACCTGAAGCGATTAAAGTATCAATATGTTAGGCAAATTGGGAAAAGAAATAGAGATTACTTCATGGTTGGTGAGTGCGTACGATTTTTATTCACGAGTTGTGAAGAATCGAAAACGAACGAGTGAGCGCAGCGAACGAGTGAGTTTGCGATTCTTCACAACGAGTGAATAAAAATCGTACAAGCGAACCAACCATGAGGTAATTTGTTTATTATATATGTACTGAGATATTACAAAATAATGTTAACAACTATCAATTGCGTGGTGAAATCAACACAAAGACCACAACGAGTTGCGAATGATTTTATTCGAGCAAACTGAACGTACAAAACTTCCTACAATATTAAAGTTATTCAATGACTCTGAAGAAAGTGGAACAAAGCCTACTTTTAAACGATTCTTTAACTTTAAATAACAATGAAAATTTTCAGCTTTAAATATCGCCGTTCAAAACCGTAACTAAGATATAAAATTTGAAAAAGTTGACTGTTTTGTAAATCTAATTATAGTAATGCATGCATTCTAATCAGAGTCAGAGTCCAGTACTTTTAGCCTTTTGTACCTCTTTGGAGAAGACTTACCTCAACTTCTTGGATTGCCAACTTCGGGGATTGATTGAGGCTGTTAATAGAAATGCTGAATTGACCTCCATAAATAACAGCGCCCGTGAAAAGCGACATCGCTTGTTGGTGATGATCTGCCGCCGAGCGACCCGCCGAGCTAGCTGAAGGATCAGTGGAGCATTCTCCAACTTGAGATGAATTAGTTTTCTCTAAGCTATGCACATTCCCGGACATCAGTTCACTTAAAGTACGAGACATTTTTACTTGCTGTTTTTCAGAAACTACAGAATAATTTGTCACACTTTGAAGATTTTTATGTCCCGACAGTTGAATAATATCTGTCGCTGGGATGTCGTTGTTTGTTAAAGTTTGGATCATTGTTTTGCGACCGCTATGGTTCTTTACATTGGGCCCCAGCCCGGCTTTTTCTGCCATTTTTTTCATTAACGAATTCAGCTTGTTCACGCCAACGGCTGACTTTTTAAACCATGGTTTAGAAGAATCTTGTTTTTTACAGTTATTTACTGCTAGATAAAATGGTGCGTTGTTGTCGTTCATTTCCGACGGTCTTTTCTCCGCGTAGAATTTGTAAACAGTGACGGGATCTCTTTCACTTCCCTGAACCGAAAACATTTTCGGTTTTATTTGCCTGACATCTCTGGGATTTTCCCCGGTTCGAGTCTTAGTTTGTCTCTCAGTATACTCTAAAAATTCCTCGCCATTTGTAGTTTGGCGTAGTTGCACATCGCCCCAACACATGTCTCTGTGTTCCTTACAACCACGGAGACCGAAATAGACTGTGTTGTTGAACCAAACTGTATTCAGTAGAGCCTCAGGAGTTGACTTTCCTAACAATCCTTTGTCATACAGCAGTTTTATGTCGTCTTCTGTGAGGGGAACTGAAGCGTTTGGTTTATCGCCTTTGCCTTTCTTCTTGAGATCTCTTTGTTTTGATTTTAATGCCGTTCGTGCTTTTTCAAACTCGACGTCTCTCATAATGCTGTAGCCGTAATTCTTCTTCTTTAAATACCGTTCAAAACTGGCCATCATAGCACGCAAGGAAGTGGGTTCGTAATCTTCGTTGTTTTCTTTCTTTCTTACTGTTATGATAAATTCGCTGATGAATGAACTCAGTTCGTGTGGGGGAATTTCTTCTACAGGCCTTGACTCATCTTTTAGCCTCAAAAACTCCTTAAGCAAAGCAACATTCTGTTCAGTTTTCTTCCTGGTGTTTTCGTTTTCTTGTCCTTCAATAAATTCCTCTACTGAAGTTATATCTGCAAACCTTGAATTGCTCGAAGAAGACGCCATGGTTTTCCTTTTGCCTAGTGACGCCGTCAGTGAAAGGCGGGAAAATCGATACGATTTTTGTCACTAGTGAAAACTTTCGTCTGCGGGTTGTGATTGGTCATACGGTATTTTTCACTAGTGAGAAAAATCGTACAACCAATCAGATTGCGTGTACTCTGCAACGCATCATTTTTATTTGACATATTCATTTTGCAGTAAATCTCAGTACATATATAATAAAAATATATTCCTGACCTTTTTTAGTTAATAAAACAAGTGAAGATCAGTGAAAGGCTTCTAATATAGCTTTTCTTGAGTTGTGAATTCCGCTTTGATTTGCGCTTGACATGTAGAAGAATCTTTAACATAAATTAAACAAGCTTTGTTTTAATGCTCGGGTAAGTCATCTCCAGATAAAATATATTTGTTAACGATAGAGGGCTGTATTGAGGGAGGTAACAACATCGTTCCCAGGGTTGACGACTGGTTGGGGAGGTAATAGAAGTATGCTTTTAAACGACTGCTGATCGTGGCCCGTGTGGTGATTAGATGGAGAAGAGCATTAAGCTCGTTTTCAGCTTGTCATGCGGAGCATGAAGGCGGCTTATAACTTAAAAGAGCTATCAAGAAGAAGCTGTGAACAGTCCAACTAGAGACTTTTTTTTTAGTGTGGGTAAGAATGGTGAGATTGTGTCGTAAATCGCGTGTTTACATATGTAATCAAACCTCATATCGCATATAGAATTTGATTGTTAAGTGACCGGAAAGAGATAGGCATCGAATCTGCCAAATCAAAGGAAACATAAAACGAATCGCTTTATCTTTCGTTGAAAAAAATTATCAGGAGTTGTGTTGTAATAAAACCGGGGATGCTGTGAGTGAAGAATATATGTTTAAAAACCTTACATCGTGAGTGAGTGATTTAGGACCGTTTAGCGCGAGTTTATCGGGACAACAGTGTGTTGCAAGCAAATATCCCATTCCCAACACAAAGTGGCACCTCCGACGGGACAGAACAGAGGGAAAACAAACAGATCTGACGCCGGGATTTTACAATGGAGAAACTTACCACGGATCTAGACACACAACTACAATTGCTCAACTTCACAAGGGATAAGAGTGAAGGAATCACCGCAAAGGGAAATGTGGAAGCTGTGGACCGCCAACTTCAGTCCTTGAGATCTATCGTAACGAAGGTGGAAGATTTTAAGCTTCAAATCGAGCAAGCGAAAATCGCGAACGGAGAGAAACTTGAAGACGTGTCAGAATGGAGCCTCACAGTTGAAGCCGCCCAAACATCTGCTGATGAGAACATCGCGTACTTGCGGAAATGGTTAACAGAATACAAGCAAAGAGAACGCCTTTCGGAAAATGAGGGTCAACAAGCCTTTCTGGAGCAGTCAAGAAAGGATCAGCTTGAGTTTGAACGAACGCAA